CTTTCCAATGGTACCAAGGTCGTGTCCTATTTCCTGGTATTCGTTGAGTTAGCAAAAGTTCGCGCGCACATTCGGTAATCACGTGCGTCATTCCCATAGTCGTTCGTATGCGGGCGCCATTTCCGTTTAATTGTTCGGGATTTATGATATGCGTGGGTGTTTATTTCTTTCATATGGGCTTCTGTGATTTATTTCAGATTTTTCCCTCATGATTTAAGGTTGTTTTGCACTTTCCGTGCTTTGTTTTGACCGGGCTCTTCCTTATTTGGACGGAAATTGGTCTTCGCGATCTGCTGAAGTGCGGATCTCGGTTCCAACGGCCGGTTCCCTGCGCATCGCCACCCTCATGTGTCATTACACATGATGCGGATTTCTATATTCCCATCATGGGTATAACTTCACAACGGCTGGACTGTTTGGGCTGAAAATTTGCATAACTATAGTTCCCCATTTTTAATAATTTCCGTGTAAATTTCGTTGTATGTTTTAACTATGGATCCTACGCAAACATCGTCTTTTCCCTAAGCTCGGACTTTCGATGTCACTATTCCCGTTATTGGATATCTCATTAACGCATGATCCTTTTATTATGAAAATTTGGGAGGATTAAGATTGGATCCCTTCCTTTCTAATGGGCTATCAAGCTTGTCTCGGTCGTTACTGGTTAATCTTCGCGCTTCCCTTTTAGGCATTGTCCTCGTTTTGCAGGAGTTTTAGTCATATCTCCATCGTTTATAGGTAGTTTCCCCTGTAATTACTCTCATTGGTTCCGTTTGGAGGACATCTACATTTCCTATTGTAAACACGACTCTGACTTTTGCATTAGTTCCTGAGGAATCTTCGTTCCGTGGTACTTCCATCCTTGGCTACGTGTTCGGACGTGGGAAAGTAGTTTCCATGGAGGTTCTCTGATTATTTTTATAGTCAAATCTTGGTCGATTGTCCTAATTCTTGGTTTAATATTTGCTATAAATTCCCCCGAGAATTCCATCTCGTTGATAGTAAGCTTGAAGTATTTTTGCTATTTTTCTTTCTTTCGATTTATTGTGTATAGTCATAATAATTCGTAAAAATTCGTAAAATTCGTTAAAATTCAGGTCCTTCTATATTTTCTCATATCTACTTGTCTTATGAGGTTTTTGTGATTTATCTGGCATATTTCCATAATGGGTTTCCATAGTGTGGCCGTTATTTCTCCTACAGCGTGATGTCTTGTTATTGAGGCCTGCTTTCAGGGCATTGTACACATTGTTTAGAGAGGTGGGGGGGTCGTCTGGGTTCATGACTCTACAGCATCTCACTTTCCAGACTTGCCACGCAGATTTGAGGATTACTATTTTGAATAGTCTTGTTCCCCCGGCTTTTGTTAGTCTGTTTCCAGTCGTTGTTCTGATGATGGGGGCTGCCATTACGTAGGAGATGTCCAGGGAGGCGGGCCAAGGGATTTCTCTGCAGTCACATATCTTTTTGGCGGAGGCCCATATTCTCTCCCCGTGGTTCAGGGGGCAGTCGAACAAGATGTGGCTCATCGATTCTGTTTGTTGGCAGTGGTTACACTCGCTGCAGTGCTCATGCCTGGGGATTTTCTTCCAGTAGTTGCCGATCTTGAAGCAGTTGTGGATTAGTCTCCATACAAAGTTACGGATCTCTGGGGATAGGTCTCTACGGTTACTGTTTAGGCCTTCCCATATTCTGTCTGGGGTGGGGGATCTGTTGTTCATGTTTTCGAGAGCCGATTGGATTAGGTTAATGTTGTCTGACACTGCGGCTCTGTGAACGTTTATTTTGGTAAGTCTTGCTCTATGGATTAGTTTGGCGGCAGTCGATTGGTTTAGGGCGATTAGGTGTGCACCGTTGGGGATATTGGGTAGGGGGGGGTTACTGGTGGGTGGGGTTCTGGCTCTTGTTGGGCACCTTGGGCGGCTAGGTAGTCGGCCTCTTCATTGCCATGGATACCGGAGTGGCCTTTGAGCCACTCAAACGAGGTGGGTTTAAGCCTGTTTCTCAGGGCACTTTGTCAGGGCCCGGCCTCTGTCCGGGGGCAGCCCTATCTCAGAACTGGACACTTGCGGTGTCCCAGGCAGCCAAGTGCTGGATCCTACCCCAAGCTCCTCAAACTCACTAAGCAGGGATTGAGTTGTCATGTATTATGGAAGGTAGCTACAACTTGCCTAAGCGGGGATTGAGTTGAGAAGAAGGGTAAGTTTCCCTATTCCCCGCTTGGCTACTATAAAAGGGAAATGTACTATACAGTTTGTAACGTGACTAAGGGTAGGAGCTGAGCATGTTCCCACGAAAAGGTGTCACATGGGTTAAGGTGAGTTGCTCGCCTTGACCCACGTGATTTTTCCTGCGGGTTCGCGTGTGGGCTGTAGTTGCGAAAGGTGTGTGAAGATGGGAGGATCAGGGAAGTGGGGGGAGGTCAGGGAAGGTGGTTCTGGGGTTGTATGGTCAGGTGTGGTTGCCCTGACACACTTACTGTCAGTTTAGTAATGTACTGGTGTTTGGCATGTATATAGTCTGAGTCCTCGAGGGAGGGTAGGTTCTGGCAGAGGGTGGTGACGCACCACTCTGAGTCAGTTTTGATGTGTAGGTAGGATGAGGGGGCCGTCGAGGTTGCGGCATGGTGTATAGCTAGCATTTCCGCTACATTGTTCAATTGTGGGAAGAGAGGACTCACTCTTCTACTTGTGTTTTTGGGGTTGTCGGGGCTGTGCCAGACACCGAAGCCAGCGGTTGCATTTGTCAGGGCCCGGCCTCGGACTCGGAGGCTCCCTGACCTCAACCCCCATCTAACCTGTCCTCACACTATGCAGGGCATGAGATGTATAGTAAAAGGAAAGATAATATATACACTTGCCTATGCGGGGCATGAGATGAGAAGAAGGGTAAAGGTCTCATCTCCCCGCATGGTTGCTATATAAAGGAATGGGTCACATGCCCACAACTATACAGCTCTTAGAGTTGTGTAGTGTGACCCGGAGGGAACATCCAGGTGGCAGTGCCCAGTAAGCGTGGGAACATTCTGGGCGAGTTGCTCGCCCAGAACTGTGGCTGTGACCCGTGGGAACATTCTGGGCGAGCTGCTCGCTCAGAAAGTTCCCACGCTATCTCGTGTGCGCGGATACACAACACAGAAAGGCAACAATGAAGGAATGGAAGGAAGGGATTGGTTGGGGAGTCTGGGGCACCCTAGGGCAGGGTGCTGAACCCTGACAGCGTTGGTGTCACCATTCAGGGAGCAGGACCCATCAGTGAAGACGGCAGTGTCTGGTGAGGACAGGGGTTGGTGCCGGGGGGGGGGGGGCTGGGGAAGTTTGGCAGGAGTTTGCCAAAGACACGGAAGTAGTGGTTCAGGGGCCGACCACATTGGGGGGATGGGGTGAATGTTTTGATGTCATCCAGTTTCCCGATGGCATGCAACTTGGTGCTTTCCAGGAAGAGGTGGTCGGGAGGGGGTTGATGTGTGTGTCGCTGTGTGGGTTGTAGAAGGGGTTGAGGTTCGTGACCACTGCTGTTGCGTTCCGGTAGCAGGCGTCGGGGTTCTTGCAACCTTTTTGTCTATAGGTGCAACAGGGTGCACATGGGCAGGTTTTATTCTGGGGGACATGGTTGGGGTTTTCTTGGAAGTCTGTCTGGGAGATGAGGTCTCCAATCCTGAGGCAATCGTGGGTTTTCCTTAGGCAGGAGGCAGTTTTGGAGCGGTCGCTAATCGGCGTGTTTTCTTCTAGGCCGGGGTGGGCCCAGGCCAGGAATTCAAGTTTGGCGTCCAGATTTAGGATTGGGTTCTCCAGTCTTAGGTTGTATTTCGCGCCTGTGTTGAGGGCGTTGCATAGTTCTTTTGGTAGATTTCTGTTGTGGTACCGCACCTTGAGGAACGGTTTCTGGGCAACTGCGTCGAGGATGTAGGGGGGATCGGATCCGATGGGTCGAAGGTTCTTAGGGAGGGTGGCTATAATCATGGCTTCAGCTGCGTCTGACGCGGGTGGTCTGTTGGAGGACCTGTCAAGTAATCTCTGAAGCTTGGTGAGTTGGATTGCTTCGTTCCTGTCACGGATGTTCAGGATCCCTTTTCTGCCTAGGATTCTAGGTTGGTTCATGTAGTCCATGCTTATTGGGGGGGGGGTGTCGGAGTTCCATGTGAATTCGCGTATTCTCCTGTTTAGGTGGTCTTCGATTTCTTTGGGCATACCCTGGGCGCGCGTGTGGAATTGGGTCATGCCGCCAATTGTCATTTGAATTATCAGGCGGTGGCCCTCGATTGATGGGTACGTTTTATTCCATTGCGTGAGTGGGCTCTCCTTTCTGATTGCAGAGCTGATGACAATGCTGCACTCACTCAAATCTCCTTCATTTCTCTCTCAGACACAACACAGATTATCGCGAACTTAGCATCAGTATCATCGGTATGTGGCAGGTTTCGTTATAGAACAGCATCGCTGCGATGGCGAGTTGTAGGCTGTAGTATTGAGCTTGCACAGCCCACCTTGATGTCGATGATGATCGACTACATCATGCTTTACTGTAAAACTGGTGTACATAACATGAAATCCTACACTATGTGTCACGTCGCTCAATACCATAGGATATCTGGTAAAAGATGGTACACAGAACTTGGTTACCAACCCTCATCAGGTGAGTTGGTACATTACCATTCCTCAATTACCACCCGAAACTTAGTAAATGGTCCTTTACCTACGAAAACTTGGTAATTTACCAGAGTTTACTTCCCACTAGAGTGCGTGCTTCGCATCGCAGAAACCTGCACAGCCATTGCAGTAGATACATTGTGGAAGGGCGGCATTTGACAGATGGAAATCAAACAAGTGAGAAAGGTTTCCAATGCAAATGCTGTTTCTGAAAGAGGGGCTGACTTTAATTGAGAAGAGTCGCGACTGTTACTTACAGAGAGCCCATTTTGAAGGAGATGCAGTGAGGGTTGCAATGTCGTTCTTGGGTGTAGGACCGTTGCCAAGGTAAGCGTTTGAATGCAGCACGGTTTAGGTTAGCCCGGTTTCAGTGAACTTCTCCAAGAGGCATTGAGTGACCACTATGTCACCAGGTTTGAGATCGAGGGGGTAGGGCATATTTTTGTCCTGTTGGAAGTTGTAGGACCCCAGCGGTTTGGCGTCATAGATGTTCTTGAACGGGTCATCCTGTGAGAGGTAGGAGAAAATGAAGAAACAAATGCATCACGGGAATGTGAACATCACCTCAGGTGCAAAAGCGGACATGGGCACAGACTCGGAGGTGATGCTGATATTCTTGATGTTCACGTGTACAAAGACGACAGTCATTCAGGCCGATTAAGACGCAAAGGCGGTCTGCCTCCAGTGGTGGAACTAGCAAACAGAAGCAAAGTCATAAAAACCACCAACCTAGACACCGACATCGACGTAGCAAATGGAGTCCAAGGACAGATAGTGGCGTTATGGGCAGAACCTCGCGAAGAGACAGAAACCTCCAGAGCGGTGCAAGAAATGAAGTACCCTCCATCTTGTGCATTGGTCAAGTTAGAATGATACCGAGGTCCGCAAATAGAGGAACTGGGGGAGTCAATGATCCCAACCATTCCTACTGAATGATCGTTCGATGTGAAGTTGGGATGTGGAGATAAGAAAGTCATCAAAAGGAGGCAGATAACACTGGATGGGGCTTACGCTTTTACAGATTATCGTGTGCAGGGACAAACCATAGAGTACCTATGGGCGGACTACCGAGAGGAAGTCTTACACCATTCAATGCGTGCATCACATTGTCAAGAGCACGAGGATGCGCGAACGTAAGATTGGTACGAGACTTCAAGGACTCACTGTTCACCAAGATACCGTGTGAGCTCTTGGAGAAGGAGGATGAAAGATTGATTTAAAAAACAAACGAGAATGGAGGAATCAAAAACAAACACGTTGAAACGAAAGATAGAATACAAAGAACGCCATGTGATCAGAGCGTGACCAGAAAGTGAATAACAACCCCAAACTAGAGAAACCAACACGTAAGCACAAGTGGCACAAACTACGTAATTATGCCAGGCACTGCTGTGCAGGTAACAGTGTGTTGGTAACAAGGAACGTGCCTTTTGCCGACATCATCACTGTCATCCAGAAGATTCACTGAGAATGAGGATCGCTGTACATGTATGATAGAAATTGTTATACTTTTCGAGTCTAGTCTTGGTATTACTGTACAGTGTACACGGACTAAATCTGCTATAGAAAACAGTGGTCTCAATCTATTGATCCTTTGGCCCATATTTCAACAGACACGTTCGCTATCATGATCCCCACATAACAACATATCAAAAACAGCCCCCACTTCTTGTTCAGTTCATAATTGTTCATCGGCACATATATTAGCGTGCTCACAAGCAACCCAAGTAGTCCGCAACTGCTGATGAATAATGTCCGAGTGAATTCCAGTTCATATGGCTTCCCACCTTGCACTTCTGAAATGACAAATGTACCGGAGAGTCCAATACCCAGGAGTATATTTAGCATAGGTCCTCCGAAACAGGCGCTGAAGCCCATGATGGGTGCATAGGATGCGACGGTGACATTGGCGACGAAGTCAGCGAGAGAGTTACCAACCGCGAAGATTGTGAGGCCAATGATGGCGGGAGAGAGTCCAAAGATAAGGCCAAGTGTCTGCAAATAGCCATCCCGGATCATTGGGACGCGCATTTTACAAAATTGGTCGTCAAAACTCACTTCGAGCAGTTGGACTACTTCGTCCGCAATGGCCATGATCCACACCACACTCACCATAAAACCCAACAAGCAGAGAGCTAGTCTAAGTCCTGGATCCCTACCCTCGCCAACGGAACAGAGCACGAGTACCGCGGCTGAAATGCCGACAACAAGGGTAGCTAGCTCAATCCAAACCCCATATGACTTTCCACCGAAGAAAATCGCCATGACCCAAAGGGGGCCCAAAATAAGTTGAATCGCGGTAAGGTATTTATTAAGCTCTGGCCCAGGCTGGGCAGCCACGTCCGAATCCTCTGAGATATCCTGCTCTGGCTCCTGATCCACTGCCCGCGAATGATGGCGTCCATCGACTGCTGTTCTGGCAGGATGTGCCGAATCATCGTCAAATTCAACACCAATAAGAGGTCCCTCGGGCACTTCGTCTTTGACGCTCCAATCATCATCGCCCTCCACAACAGACGAAACCACCACTGGTAAGGTAACAGTCAACATGAACACGGCGGGAGCCGCAAGAATTGACGCTGCTGCGCTCAGAAATCTCTTCTCACTTAAATGAAACAGTGTTGGCGTGAGAACGTGGAAAATTCGTGCTATTCGCCGTGACATGCCCTTTCGCCGCGAAAGTTTCGTTGAGGCTATCTCCTCAACTGCTCTGAGTTGGAATGGGTGCGTGGTGGATATGGTCCCAGGGGAGGGTGTCGGAATCTGCAGCGTTTGTCCGTTTATGTGAACTGGAAGTGTAGATTCAGGTAAAACGAGCGATGACGAAGGACGTCGGGAAGAGAGAGGACTTGGACTCCGTGAGGAATCGAAGTATGAATGTTGTGGATGGTGGGAGGAATAAAGAGATGGAGGACGAACATGGTAGTGTCCGCCCAGATACGTCGGTGAAACGGGTGACTCGAACGCTGCAAGGACCTCTGTCGCGGATTCTCGTCGCAACGATGTCACAACATCGCGGAACTCGAGCGCACCAAGGAGTGAAAATGAAGGGAGTTGTTGATTGGATGTTCGCGTGTTGAAGAACGTGATAAAGAGATTGGACGAGATACATGAGAAGAGGACAAGGGGCCACGACCCATGGTGGGACGTTGGGGGATGTCGAGCTGAGGGAATTCATTTCTTGGCTTTCGGAAGGAGGGATGAGCATGTGATCCCGTTCAGGTAACGAAGTCGACCGCTGTCGAGGTGACCAAGGAATTTCCAATCTTGGTGTCCGTGGTTTCCGCGCCTCCTCGGCTGCAAGAACGACAGAGTAAGCAATTGGCTCCGTTGGCGCGTACAGGCCACAAAAACTTACGGTCATCCCTGTATGGCTCGTCATCCACAACGTCCACAAGAATTTCAATTCCCGGCTCTTGTTCATGTTGGGTGCGCGAGATTTCAAGTGACTGGGCCATGCGTTGCCGTCTCTTCTGCCACATAGAACCCACGACCACAACTGCTACATAGCATATATATAGCGCTACGAGAGACAGAGCCTCCCAAAGCATCAGCAAGCCATCATAGAGCACCGTGATCAACAGCAGCACAGCGGCTGTGAAGAACCCTACGTCCCGAATGAAGTGCACTTTTTTGACTTTGAACTCAGTGATGATGCACATGGAACCCGCGACAACGGAGACGATGAATGAGGCAGCACCGATCAGCTCACCAACGGCTAGGCTTCCGGATCCGGTTCTCATAGCAGAGAGGGTTGCAAACAAGTCAGGGCTTCCGTTTCCAAATGCCAGAAAGGTAACACCGGCAATATTATCATCTAAACCAAAGGCTTCTGCGAGACTTGCAAGATTAGGGATAAAGAAGTCGGAGGCCGCAACGCCAATGAACGAGAACAAAAACATGAGCAATGCGATGAAACCGGCTAACGTAAGGGCATGAGCACATCAATGGACAAAGCGCAAGTGTGATACGTACCAAAGACGAATGATCTGGCTACTGGGGTCGCGCAGAAATATTTCTGCACATATGTAACGGACAGCACAGTGTCCGATTGGGCACAGGTCGCCTTGACGTGGGCGCATTGTGTTTCAACCGGATAGGTCAGCGGAGCACACTCGAGCAACAGTATTCTTCAGACAGCAGCGGTATCAATGAGTGCAACCAACTCACCTCAAGCTCGTCAGCCAGGACCTTGGCAGTGGATGCCGCATCCCGCTTAACAAAACGATGCAAGCCTGCAACATTTGAAGAACCACCAAAACGTGTAGACTCGCGACTCCATATGAGAAAGCAGTTCAGGAGGATAGCAAGAGTCAGGAGCAGTCGTCTCATATTTGTCTTGGCATCTGTGGAAGGACGACCTCTGGTCACGCTTTACCTCGAGTTCGTGACGCAGAAATCAAATATTATGCATTGATCGGCTGACTCGGCTATAGCCAGTGAACACCTGATCAAGCCAAACAACCCGGAAGCAAATCTCTGGTCGACAACCTGCTTACCTAAACGAAACGTGATTAGACATTTCCATCACATTTTCCCTTTTCTCCCTGAACAAAACATCCCGCATCAATACCAACCGCGTCTCACTGACTGTCACATACGGATTGACTATGGCAGCGTCAACTACCATCACTGAAATCAAGCCTAGAGATGACGCGCCACCGCGCCCACCACTCCCCCACGCGCTGCTCAATCCTTTGCTCGCGACGTGTGCGTACCCTTTTGTTGTGTCGTTGAGTCAAAGACCATCTCACAACTCCTTTCGCACGCCTCTTCTTTCCCGCCAGTGAGCGTCGACACTCTCCAAGTGAAGTTCCAGGTTATCACCCGCGACGATCAAGAGATCATCGTTGGACGTCTCAAAGTGCCCACGGTTCGCATGTTTTCCGTCAACCTCGCCAACCCACGTTGTTTTTGACTCAGCGCACGTCTCACACGTTTCTCTCCCCCATATAGGCTACCGGGCATGCATTCATCCTCAGGCGATTCGATACCGGAGCAATCAGCGTCTCTACCATGATTCGTGCTGCTTATCCCGGTTTGCCGGACGATATCGAGAAGAAAGAGACAACTTGGGTCCGAACTGCATATGACTGCGCGGGCGCTAATGGTCAAGGACCCCGTCGCCTCGCTGGCGTCTGGGCTCCTCTGCCCGTTGCAATGGCCCTCGCGCCGTCGTACGAGCTTGATGAGGTCGTACAGCCTCTGGTGGAGGCTGAACCCGATCCCAAGGGCATTGCTCGCAAGACCGCCACTCGCTCGTCCACTGCCACTGAATCTAGTCCTTTACCGCCTATAAGCAGCCCTCCATCTAAGCTATCTCCTGCTAGCACAGCCGCTGCGTCGAGTCCACCCGCAAAGCGCCGTCGAGGTGAATCGCCGTCAATAACCAACACACCCGCCTCCCTCCCTAAACTCTCACAAACCTCTCAGCTCCCTGTTCGCACTACTCGCTCGTCTGCCTCTCCTGCTCGCCTTACCGGCCGTTCGTCTGCTTCTCCTGCACGTTCAATTCGGTCCAGAGCAGCCGCAGTCGCGACTAGTCCTAAAACAGCGCCGGTACTAGAGAATGCTGCAGCCGAGCAAGCAGAAGAGGAAGCCCACGTCCCAGGTCCTGACATGAACGAGGACATTGCCGAGCAGAAGCTCCTTGTTGCGACTCTCAAGGCTGCTCAAGAGGTCGCAGCTTCTGATCCAGCTGCACATATTAGCTCCGTTTCAGTGAAGAGAAATCATGAAGAGACATCCAGTGGCGATGCGACAACGACTACGCAGCTCACGTTGAATCTACAGAAGGATGAGGCGAGTGTTGGTCAGGGGGCCGATGAGAGGCCCATCGCCACGAACCGCAGGATTCTACTTACGCCAGCACGGAAGACTGCGTTGTGGGGCACTTTAGCGTTTTCCATTGGATTGAGTGCTGCGTAAGTTCAAGCTCCGCCAGTTTTGCAGACACTTATACATCATATTTCGTTGCAGCGCATTCCTTCCCCAGTTCCTCTAATCCGCCATGGTAGTCTGCTTAACCAGCTATCATCCCTCCCACTCTCACATTCACAACCAATTTTACCCCCTTTACGTTTTCGGCGTCTGTCCCGAACTATTCCTTCCGGACTAGCTTCATCATAATTAGCCATGGGGCCCCATATATTTATTATGAACAAGATGATGGTTAAGCCATCCGTGTACAACACCGAGTCGCACAACCTATTTTCATTTCCATGCTTGGTCTTTCCTTTCAACCTTTGATTTTTTTGTCCCATGTCCCGTTTTACCATGTTGATGACTTTACGCCGCCTTATGCCATTCTTTTTCGTCCCCTGGGTTGTCTGGTTTGTACAAGGTCATGCATTTAATCCTGTACCGAAGTGTTCATCTGTTGCATGAGCGGTAGCTCGATGATATTCGCTTAGTACACGGCGACTCAATACAATGTGCATGGTCATCTTCCCTTCTTGACCGCCAATAGACTCCGCCAGGAGATGCAATACGGCCCCAACAAGCGATCGATCGGTCACGAAATGAAAATTGTGCATCCTTACTCGATCGAGAAAAGCTTGTACAACCGGTGGTTCGATTGACAAATTAGCTTCAAAGAAGCGTTGGCACTGTCGCGAAACACCTGTGCTCAATCCAACGGTATCGGTTTGACATACCTATGACACAGATTGCACGTCAGGAATGATTGGCCATCTCACGCAAGACAGATATGAAAGGGTCGCTGACACGCACGTTGCGTCCACTTGCGTTACTTGTGGGAGAGAAAGAATGACCTTGCGCCTGTACCCTCCCTGGTCGTTACGCTGACAGGGATTTCCCTCAAGATAGATCGTTTCGAGAGTAGCTGTCTTGCCAAGTTCACGCTGGAGAGCACGGAGATCAGGTATCTGGTTATCGTTTATCTGAATGAAGAATGGTTTCTATCAATCGTGCGAGTACAAGCGGAAGGAGGGAGACTGTACCCAAAGTTCCTCAAGTCCTTGAAGATGCGACAGGTTCTCGAGCTCGGTCACTTGGTTGTTGCCCAGATCCAGAGTCTTGAGTTTTAGCTAAATAAAAAATAAGACTTGCCGTCAGAGAGAATACTAATCTATCATACGTTTTTCTCGAGGCCTTCGATTCGCTGGACACCGTTATGACTGAGGTAGAGCTGCTCAAGATCTTCAAGTCCCTCTAAGTTTTCGAGCTTTGTGATGCGGTTGGATTGGATAGAGAGTATCTTGAGCTTCTTCAAAGTTCCTAGATTCTGGAAACCAGAGGCATCATCGGTATCCAGACAACGGAGCTAAACAAAACTCTGTGCATTACCTCGAATCTGGCTATCTTGTTCTTTCCTAGCCATAATTCTTCGAGATTCACTAGGGCTTCCAAATTCTCTATTGTCTGTATGACGCGAATCGTTCAAACCGATCCAAATGCCCTACAGAGATTTCGGCTTACCCGTATGCGATTTCCTCCTAGCTCGAGGCTGCGTAATGTCCGTCCGACATTGCTCAGCCCGTCGATGTTTGTTATTTTGTTCTGCACAAAATATACAGTATCGAGGGATGTGAGGTACTGTATAACTTCCGGGATTGATCTAAGAAGATTAAAAGACACATCCAAGGATCTAGGCGGGCGGTGTCCTGTAAGCTCACGCTGCCTCATAAAGAATATATGGTCTGGCAGTCAACGCACTGCAATTTGTTCAGATTCTTCAATGCCATCCCCAAGTCCTTTATCTGATTGTCGTAGACATCCAGCGCCTCCAGCTCAGTCAGGGCGCCAAATTCGTTGGGGTCCAACTCCGTGAGTGCGTTTTGACGGAGGCACAGTGATTTAAGGTGGGTGGCAAATCGGGGAAGACGTAGAGCTTTCACGGATGAAATTCGAGAGTGCAGAAGCTCTATTTCCTACACGCAAGGCAAGCGGGAAATAGTAATGACGAATGAAATGGGTGGCTCGACATCTTGAGGGCTTACTTCTGTGTCATCTGGGTATTCTGCGAGGAGATCGCGGCTCTCTCCAGCCTCACTGTGCCCTGATATACTATCATCGTCATTTTCATCCTCACTATCTTGGTGCTCCGTGGAGATAACCTTAGGGGGGTGCCAGCCTTCGTCGCCCTCATACACCACAACTACCCGCTTCTTGGGAGCTACATCGGTCACATCATCCCCCGAGGGCGAGCGTGGCAATTCTTGCGGAACAATATCTTGTGACTCTATGCTCCTGTCGGATTCGGATTCCATGCTAGGCATTTCGATCAAAGTCCGTGTTAAACGAAAACTAAGAATGAACCAATGCGGAAACAACGATGCACGGTTCCGATAACAATTGAATGAGGCGCTTAAGTAAATCCAACCAGAATTATTTGTCCTCGCCCTCATCTCGCCGTTGGCGCTTCGATGGTTCAGCATGCGTGAGCTCCTCTGTCTGTTCCTCCATCATCGTGTGACCCTCTTCGATTCCGCCGATAACAATTTGTTCTACTGCCTGCCGCAATACTTCATCAATATCCGTGCCATCCAAGTCGGAGCGTGCCATGATCTGCTCAACATCCGCCATAAGCCGTTGAGTAAGTCGCTCTGATGCTTGTTCCGTCGCCATTTGCGATGGAAACTTGGTCGGTGGCACTAGGCTGTTCTCCCTCGGCTCCCTCGATAGTCCTCTCAGATACTCCGCTATTTCAGGAAAGTCTTCCTCCAGATGTTCTTCAGGCTATACAAGCTCAGGGGTGAACTTACAGTCTTGGAAGAGGATTAACACCCACCAAAACTCCATCGTTGTTTCGCCTGTCACTAAGGGCTCCATGATCCACGAGATATTTTGCAGCTTCGACACTTTCAACCGTATAAAGCGGTGTGTCTCCATCCTCATCCGTAACATTGACATCACCCCCTCTATTGGTCGGAATTCATATCGGTTGCCCACATTATTGTGATGAATCCTTCTTCACACCTTGAAATCAGGTAATCGAGAATGTTTAAGCGGCCATAAGAAGCAGCAGCATGCCTGCAGGTCCGAGTGAGTATACGAGCGCTATCGCGTGCAGGATGACGGACATGGGAGTGTATGTATTTGGGTCTGGGTCGTTGGGGGACATACCTTGGGGGAAATGGGCTTCAGAATCTAGGGATTCCAAACAAAAAAATGGACTCGCCCTGTTCTTCGATAAAAAACTGCGCAGGAAAGCTCTTCTTGGTGAACGCAATCAAAAAATGATCAGTCACTCTACCTTTACACGCTCAAGATCGCCATCACTAGCGGCAATCCATAGATTCTTTCGGGAAGTTGAAACAGACGCTGGCATCAAATTGAGGTGAGATAGCAAAGATTGGCGCGCCGAGAAATTAATGGAAGTCCTACATGAACGTGACTATTTTTAATCAATTCAATGGCACGCAGTTCCGTGGCCACAAAACGCGATGGTCCCAAGGTTCGCATTCGCGGATAATGGCCTGTCTGATCCTTATTAATGTCAAGGCTCTTAGGCATCTAAGAAGTCCCCCAAGGAACACACTGTCCTGGACAAGTACAAACTCTCGTTGCACCGTCAAGCAATCGCTAAAGCGCAGATGCTAAAATCCATAAGCAGGTGACCAGCCCCCTTTAAGGGGAAGAGATAAAATCCAAGTTTCCGAGCCTGCCTTGATACCCTCTGGTTCGGATGAGGGTATCAATTTCGGGGAGCCTATATTGCTCCAGAGCCTTGCTCGCTCTGCAAATGAATCAGAGTCTGACCGTCACATATCAAAAAAACGGAGATTGGGTTCGGAGACAGAGCTCTTGCCAATGGACCTAGATGTCACTGCTTTAGACGAGGTGCCCACTCCCGAGAAGGATGAGGAACATCCCCCAGAGCCTCCTGCTTCTGCACGAATTCGGGATGAACGGCCCTTCCCTGCATTTCCCAAACCTATTAAGCCATTGGCTCCCAGTCGTTCTGTTCTCCTTCGTCAAGGCCTAGATCAGGCCGTCGTTGAGGCCAAGAGGGTCGATTGGTCAGACACCCTCCTTATAAACCCCACTGCCGCAGAAGATTCTTCAGGTCTATCTGAGAGCACGCGGGCAAAGTTGGCTAAGCTGGGTATAAGCCATCTTTTCGCAGGTATGTTACTATATTCATTCATATTCAAATGGGCGCGCTAAGGGTCTACCCAAGTACAAAAGGCAGTCTTGTCTTACCTTTTGCCCACTAAGTCGAGCGGGGTAAGATCGCTGTATGCTCCATACAACCCGCCCCGAGACCTATGTGTCTCTGCTCCGACTGGGAGTGGAAAAACTCTGGCTTATGCCCTGCCTATAATAGAGGTATGCTGATTTGAGCTGGGGAGCAGAAGCCGTCGAGTTAGTAATCGATCCCGAAGCTGCTTTCTAAACGAATAGTGACAAGATTGCGCGCATTGGTCATAGCGCCGACACGAGAGCTGGCACATCAAATCTATCAGACCTTCCTGAAGATAGGCGGGAAACCGTTGAAGGCAAGTCCAATCCACTTCACAATTGACGTAACGGAATTGATAATAGTTAACTACTCAGATTCGGGTGGCTTCAGGTGAGACATCATTAGCCCATGACCAGGAGAACATCGTTGGGGGATCCCCTCAGTCGTACGTTTCGAAATTTCAGCATGGTGGAGATCTCAATCTTTCGAGGTAGACTCCGCGGTGGTCAGAGCATGGTGGACGTACTTGTATGCACTCCTGGACGTCTTTTGGATCTGTTGAGCAACACACCAAATTTCACATTGCAACACCTTCGTTACCTAGTAAGTTGGTATCGGCGAATATGGATGGTGCTACTGACACTTGGGATCCACTTCCAGGTAATCGATGAGGCGGATCGACTTTTAGATGATTCTACTAACAATTTCCTTCCTAATATGCTTGCTGCACTCCAACCTCCTCTTCAACCAACTGTCAACCCATCAGCTACCGGAAGTATCTCGGGTGAAGGCTCATACATCGATCCTTTCCCGATACCTGATCCTCTCTCGCCGGCTTGGCTCGTAGCGTCTTCGCTCGGTGGTGCTTGCACCGAAGTTACGGAAGATAAACGCACTTCATGTCAAAAACTGCTGTTTTCTGCTACCATGATTGCGAACCCCAGCAAGCTGGCAGCTCTCAAGCTCCATGATCCCCAGTATGTCATCGTTAATAGCCGTAATAATTTAGATACCTCAGCGGGAGCTTCGGCGGATGAGCCTTATACGCTCCAATTTCCGCCTACGCTCAAGGTTAGTTTCGTGCCAGTAACCAATTTTTTTAACGAATTGGCCAGTGACTTTGACTTTCCAGGAACACTATACTGTCTGCGACTTAGCACAAAAGCCGCTTTTCCTCTTATATCTCGTGCATGAATGCAACGTCCGAAAAGCACTCGTATTCACCAATTCAGCTGAATCGACGTCGCGATTGGCCAATCTCATTGAGTTCTTTGAGGAATCATTCGCGTCATCGCGAGACGACTCTCCGATGCCTATAACTGTCCAAGCCATCTCAGCTGAATTAAACACCTCGCAGAGAAGGAAAGCGCTAAAGGAGTTCAAGCGTGGCGAGAGCGGGATGTGTGTTTTCCCACTTCTAATCAGTCTCCGATGAGTCGCTCACACAGGCGTCGCTGGAATGCGTTTAGCCTCGTGTGTTCTGATTTGCTTTCTAGAGGGATTGACATCCCGGATGTCCCCCACGTTGTGAGCTATGACGCAACAATGGATGCGGAAAAGTATCTGCATCGTGTGGGTCGCACAGCCCGTGCTGGAAAACAAGGCAAAGCTTGGACTTTAGTCGAGGAAAGAGAGGCATGTTTTCGTTGCTGCTGTGGCTGGTTGCTCGACTGATGTAGTTATTTGCTTGGCAGTGGTTTGTTTTCCGGAACGCGATGAAGGCAGCCCATCATTTACAAGATATAGAATGCATCTCAGTTACCGAGTCTCAACTGCAGCCGTATATGCCTCACTACAATGTACGTTGTTGTTCTATTATTGTGATGAGGTTTATATCAAGCTTTACGATCGCACAGGTGGCTATCAGTCGGCTGAAAGGGATCTACTCGAGAAAGGGCAGTTCCGCAACATAGTAGGAAGGGGATTTGTTGCACCCTTGTGTGCGTTTGATGTCCGCGCAGGGAATGATCCAATATAAATAATTTCATTAGGAAAGGAGGCTATCGTTCAACGATAAGTGCTGCTAGGCGAGAATAAGACGATAGTAACCCCGGAGGACCAATAGATATGACGCAGAACACTCAGTATGGGTATGAAGATGTAGAGTAAGGACAGGACATTGGTCTTTGATCCATGATGTAAAGCCAATTGAGTAAAAGAAAGGTGTATAGTTCACTAAGAGAGACACCGCTCGTCCCAGCTCTTATACGTAAGATTTTATGCTTGACCAGCGGCAACCCCAACCAACTTGCCGAGTGAAAGGAGAACGTTATAAACTGCCTGAATGTTGCCGTCTGTTTCATTCGAAGGGGTGGGTGCTGGTGCTGAAGTTGAGCTAGAGGTGCTGGTTGGAGTTGTGGATGTATGAATACTCCTGGACCGCGATCCTGTGCTCGATGCAGTGGTACTGGTGGACCTCTGTCTGGAGCTCGTTGAAGTGGTGGTAGGAGTGGGAGTGGGCGTTCGTGTCGTCGTAGTGGTGGGTGTTGGTGCAGGTGCTTTACTTGTAGTGTGGGGCTTCGGAGAAGGGGTTGGCGAAGGATTGTTATTTGGGGGATTGTCGTTATACCACCATGTCATCTGAAACACGCCCGCACTAGTGTCCTCAAAGCTTGAGAATAAACTTTCACTGAGATCTAATGCACCATATCCTGTAGGGGATGTGAGAAAGTTGCTGTGTAAAACCACGTCAAACGTACCACATGTGGGACACTGGTGGGATTGGATTGGAAAAGTGAGATGCGTGAATGCGTTAAGTTGAGCATCGGCTGCAACGAACCTCGTCAGTTATCTGAGCTTGATGTGTCCGCCCTCCACTGTAATGATGATCAGGTCCGTCGCCAGAGAGGTCAGGCTCGCCCAAGACTTACTGTGAGATGGTAATCATCTTGAAACAACTGAAAGGACTCCAAGTCAAGACAATTGACATTAGAATTTCAGTGGGACACTTACTGGGAGCGGCCGTCCCATTGCTGATCAATGCCATTAGAAATCAAAAATCGTCACCATAGAGTATTACACATACGCCAGTATTTAAGGCCACGATCTGGATGCAGACGCAGTGAGACAGAGAGGCGAGGGGCTCAAAGAAAGACGTACGAAATCATTACCCGTGTTCCGAATGCCGCATGCACCCTGCCGATGAAAGAACCATAAGCCACATCAAATGCTGGGACTTCTCTAACGAAATCCTCACCAAGCCAGCAGCATAATACGTAGCTTGTCCACTGTACGTCTGTCCGCGCTTACTAATAGGAGCGGCGAACACGAAGGCAGAGAACGAAAACAAGATGAGGAGAAAAGAAGAGGGTTGTAACATAGTTTCTAGTTGTCAAATGGGTGTCGTCGAAAAGAGTTTGGTAGTCAATATGTTTCAGCTGAGTCGGAAAGAGCGTAATGTCGAGGTTTCGACGAAGTCGATGCTGGACGGCGAGAAAGAGCAAGCCAAGCAACTAGAGTGATGGTGGAGTTAACGGGTTTAATTCGGCTTATGTCAGCAAAAGCATGTTGTTGACTTGCGTAATTGATCATGACTGTAGGTACCAAGTAATAGGCTATAGGCCGCACACTGTATATGAGCTATAGCATATTAGACCTCTTGGGTCGCACATTAAAGGAAGGACACAAATCTATATACGTGCTTCGCAGACGGGCAGAACAGCACTGTCAGGACAAAACGCTGGTTTGAGGTGGGAAAGGATTTTGAACGAATACGCACGTACAACAGTGAAAGTCACCGACAAATCATCAGTGTGATGCGTCAATACTTCGTCCAGGAATCTTCTCCATAGAGTAGCGCCTGGGATGATCTCGCCAGATCGCTGGGGCCCGCGTTAACTCGACTCTGTACATCCACTTTGTTGGATACCTTCCTCACGCCATTCTCGGGAGCGGGAGTTTCCCGAAGATGGGTCTTGGTCTTAACAACGGCTGGACCTGGACGGGTAATGCTTGGTGCAGACGTGGAAAATGTAAGTTCGCCAGTCGAATACCCAAAAAGATGAGAAACAAGCAATTGATCAGAGCTGGTCGGGGTGTTACGCTTTGTATCTTCAAACGCAGCAGCAGCAGAGCTGTATCTTCTCGCAGTGGGGCCGCTGTTCCTGTCCACTTTTACAGAAATGGCGCGCGAAACAACTGCTTCTTCGGATATGTCGGGGCGCAGCTCCATCCCATCAGTGCGCTCATAATCAGAGACGGACCGGGAGAATCCGCGAGGAGAAGAACGCTCATACGGGAGGTTGGAGTGAGAAACAGTGTTCGCAATTCCAGGAAACTCCAGGGAGAAGCGCTCCTTCTTGATAAACACATGTGAGTTCATGCCAACAATGCCTTCTTCATTGTTTGTGTGTCCCCTCGAGGGCAAAGAAACAACGCCCTCGAAGGATCTGTCAGAATCCAAAGCATTATGGAGTGCCAGCTGAGAATCCCATTGTGCCCCACTCTGAGAGGATCCGGGTTGAGCATGATTATGACTGTCGTTACTACGGCTTGAGAGAGAGCGCCTCGTGTTGGGGTTGGATGGGGCCCGTTGAGGCGGAACTCGCTTCAGAGTAAAAGGCAGAGGTCGAGATATAAGAGGCAATGTGGGCCTCTGTCTCTTCAAAGAACTAAACTTGTCTTGGATGGCACTCTTTATGGAAGATGGGGACACTTTTCGGAAGGCAGCTGGAAAACCCAGCACGTTTCCACGGGAAGGGTGATGAGAGGCAGGTTTAAAGAAGTCACGCTTCAACATGGTGGGAGACTTTTTGGTCTCAGGAGGGCGGGGAGGGGAAGTTTGGGCTGCCTCAGGCCGCTTTCCCGAGGTGAACTCCGGATCAGTGTCAAGGTCGCTCACGTATGCAGCAGGAAGGAGCTGTTTGTCGTTGGCAGGCTTATGCTCCCTTTCTTTCTCGAGCCCGCCATATGGCCCATCCTGAAGATGATCGATGACGTACTCCTTTAACTTGCTCCGCGACCCAGGAAGAATTTTCCCTTCCTGCGCTTGTTCTCCCACCGAGCGTCGAATAATGGCCATGAGACAGCAAAGAAGAATGAACCCTCCGACAATGCCTAGGGTCAGACCTACCGCCATCTTGACGCGCTTCACGTTTGTCTGGGGACCCGGAGATGCTGCGGCGCCAGGGTGAGCTGAAGGCGACGCCACGAATGAAACGTGGAGGGACGTTGTCGACACTGCATTCGAGTTGGGATTCATTGCTTTCAAAGTAACATTCACATGCGTTGCGCCGCCGTGGCTCGGGACGTCGCCGTGAATAGCAGGTGGGGAGGTGCTGAAAGTGAGCCACGAAGAAGAGTTTTCCGGTTGATAAGAAGCCTCAAGCTTTACGTCTTTCCCCCAAGAAGTGAGATTCGAGAGATATGGCACAAAGGGAAACGAGAAGGGCTTTCCCAAAGGAACAGAAATCGAGGGGATCTGCGGTGTCGTGAAGTATGAGCCTGAAGTGTCAATGGAAATCGGAAGCGATATGTCTAACGAGTGTTGAGAGGCATAAGTAAACTCTGGCGAGCTGATCCCGATGATCACTTGAGAAGGAGAAGAAGGCCCGATACCGCCAATTGAACAGTTCTGAAGATGCAATCCAGATGGCGCGGTGACCAGATCGAACTTAAGCTTCTGGGCATCCAACTGCGCGAGTTGTTTCCCATCAAGGCGAATATAAGGAGCTACTATTTCCTTGAGGTCAAATTCGAAATGACTCCCTGGCACCACTTTCAACGCAGGCAAGACAGGGACTACTGATGACAACTCGTGCTTTGCGACTGTAAAATTGAATGTTTGATTCCCGATGCAGTGGCGCCACTCGTCATACGCGTCTAGTACAAGCTCCAGAGTAAATGGGTACTTGGTGTCTGGAGTCGTACCATCGAAAGTTATCGAGTCTTTGTTGAAGGTCAACCACGACGGCAATCCCGAAGCGTTGCTGAGTTTCCCAGCATAGATAACATCCGCTGTGCCGCCATCAACCTGGAAGGTACCCCAATCAAGACCAATGCTAAACGACCAAGAGGGTGGAAGCCATAGACCAGGCGGCAGAGTCGAGTAATTAGATACGATAAAAGGACTTATCGCCTTGTTGCCAGGATAGAACTGTGAGGAAACTGGAGAGTTGAGAGAGTATTTGTGAGATGATCCACTGAGTGCTTTTCCATTCGCAAGTGTAGACGCGTGCGCCTGAAGAAAGAGGAGACGAAATGAAATTATAGACAACTTGAGGAGAATGCCAGACATTGTGTGTTCTGGGAGGGTTGAGATTGAGAAAGAGCACCCACATCTATTAGAGTAATCCAGTTACCTATGACTAAGGTCTATTGTAAGAGTGATAGGTGTAGTGAGTGCAGGATTGTGCTCGAGTGCCAGAGTTAAAGGGCCGTGGAAGATCAATAGGAAAGAACGCGATCGACGCGTCTGGAAGCCAGTGTTAACCTTTAACCCTACAGTACAACTTCTATGCGCGTAAAGAGAGAGAGAGAGTTGCCTTGAACCAGAGGCGTGGCAGGAATGGCGTAAGGAGTGATCACCAACTGTTGGCGCGACGATGGTACCAAACACACGTCAAGAGTCCGTGTGACGTCAGCAGCATCAACATTGACTAGGACAAAAGAAAGCAACAGTAATTGGCAGCTCCCATCCCGCTTCTTTCGTATTCATGCATGTCAATAGATCCAGAGATCAAGCACCAAAACTACACGTTTACATACAGCAGAGGTGTTCCCATCCTCACTCAGAGCCCCACCCAACTGCTCTGCCCCCCAGCATTGTGCAATGTTGTCTGACCAATTTTTACCCTTAGCACAGACCTCGCCTCATCAGAATCCGCCGCATCCACCCCGTGTAGAGATGAGTTTACTGATGGTGACGTTCGAATAGGGGAGCTCAATGGCGTCGACAGACGCCGATTCACGCCATTCCCAGATAGAATGTTAAGGAATGCCTCTGCTGACCATTCGTACCATACTTTTTGTTTAGTTGTCAGCCTCCAGATGGAAACTTCCAGTTCCGAGTTATCAGGCAGGTAAAGAGGCTCCTACCCAAGAGAGATGATTGTCAGACAGCAGATACGAGGAAGAATCGTTATCACTGCACTTTGAATGGAAAAAACATCGGAAACCAGCTTAGCATGTTTGGACAGATGGTCTCCATTCGTTCCGGGTGAATGCTTAGGCACACTTCGTCATATAGCACTGTCTCGAAGTACCCAGCTAACCCGTGCAATATGCCAGCGTAGGGAATATGGAAAGTGAGGTGCGCGGAGCGGACATTATGTGTATTCGTGACCGGCAACCCTTCGGGCGGGCAAGTCAGGAACATACGCCAGAAGAAGGAAAGCTCTGTTACCGATCGCATCTGTGAGCACATCACTTCTGGGATGGACAAATTCCCAAGCTTCCTGAAACTTCTCGCTCTGGGTCCCTCCACTAAGAATGTTCACGGACTGGAACATGACAACGTAAGGAGTCTCCGCGATCTTGCGATCTTTTCCGACGCCGGCAACATCATTCCATAACTTGGATGATGAGATGGGCGCGAGGAAAGACGAATAAGAGGCTGGGATGGAAATGCCATCCGCTGCGCATCGACAATGAACAGGAGCTCGCACGAGATAATAGAATGCTCACATTTCAGAAAGCGCATAGCGCCGTCCAAGCACTCGGGACTCAGTTCGTTATCTCCAAAAGAACCAAGCAACTCGCTGACGAGTATATCTACGGGTTCTGGAAGCTGAACCGTTCTCATATCCCCAAAAACTAGAGAAACAGCATCCCCCCACTCCTCATCCTTTCTCTCCTGCAGACTACGTCCCAAGTCAGGATTGCGGGAAATTAAGATGGCGTCCTCTGCTGCTCACGTTATGGACGCGGCGGGATTCTTCTCAAGAGCGTATAGACGACAATTCCGCCCCGATCGCTTGATCGCCTCCAGGCATCTAGAAACAATGCCTCCGCGTCCTGCTCCTGCCACACAAATGACTCTGAAGAGGTGATTCAGCACGCCGGGGGGCCACGAAAACCACAAATCTTACATGAGCGAATCCTCCGGACGATCGATAAGCGCCTGGTAAACAGCCTGGAGTGTATTGTAAATCCCCAAATCAAGCACAGAACCTCTATGCTTACCTCTTCATACTGGCGATATTTGACAGGATCCTTCTCAAAAGTCTCATAGGTGAATGATTGTAGATTATCCATGAGAGGCTATCAGATAAAGTACTATGAACCAAATAGTTCATCAGACGTCGTAAGTTTCAACGTCACCTGCAGAGGCGCCTGTAAGTAGTCCTGATAGCCTTGAGCAAAAGACTCCACACTGTCTGGACTCTCCAATGCTTTATACATTGAGCTTGATTTCTCAAGATGCCGAATGTACTGAGGGTACGCCTGCGGGCCCCCCTTAACGTGAAGAGACGCCGTTGTGTTAGAAAGGATGACAGTCGGTCGGTGCTACCCAAACAGCATCATTCAAGCCATGGCCATGGCTGCAATGCATATTTCTTTCGACTCACAGAAGCCATACTCCTGAAGAATTCCTGCGTCGGTTTAGTCAGGACAGGATACCCGGTGGAATTGGGAACAAACGTCGAGGCCGGAAGAAAAATGAAGCGCGCTGGTTCTGCAGACCATCTCCCCATCCATGGTTCAGCGGACGCTGGGAGAGGAGCAGTAAGATCTAGAGCTATGTATGCACGTCAGTTGACTAGTGAGTGGGTCAATGGTCCCAGAAAACACACACTCAGCGATAGTCTTGGGCTGTAGTCACAGATGGTTCTTATTGTATCCCACATCTCCCATGTAGCATTTAGATCCGCGTCTGGAATTGAAGGACCAGGTATAGATCCGAATGAATTCAACGAACTAGCGGAGGGAAGCGAGGTAGCTTGCAAACAGGGAGAATTATTTCCAAGAGGGGTGATCGACGGGACATATACGGGTATACGAATGGATAAGTGGGTGTAAAGACTCCCTCCTGTAGCTGCGATCAAACAAGCATTTACTGCACGAGCGTAGTCAGTGACGTGAGCTCGATTCCTTGGCGGTGGCAAGATGACTGTATGAATCCCCAAATATGATGCCTGGGAAATCTCTTGCTTTAACGCCTGTTGGCCAAGGTGAGCTGTGAACGCAAAAACAAAGAGGCAGCATGGCTCCACGGACTAATTCTGAATCGTAGCGCACCCATGCATCGGGAGAGTCAAGCTCCAGCCAATCCGCAGCCATCCCAATGGTTCCTTCAGCTTCCTCTGAAACAACAGCAAGGAAGTCACAACTTCAATATGAACACAGATAATGTTGACACTCACCAAGACGCGTTATGTTCACTTCGTTCTTCCGGAATCCTCCTGAATGGCCGGCGCGCCATTTTTCCGCAACTCGCTGAAGCTCCGAGTCCTTCCTACCTTCCGAGCTCATTCCATGCTCAACAAGACACATTTCCTTCCAACGATGTTTCCATATGTCATTCGCAATAGGAATGCATATCGAACTGTAGATGTTTTTGGCCGTCGTCTCCTTCATGAGGCTGTGCAAGGGAGTGGACGACCCATCTTCAGGATGTAAAACCTCGCTTGGAGGTGGCACGCCCGGGATATGCAGGGAAAACGTGAACAACCGTGGTGCACTCATCTGGAAAATCTATTTGGGTGTTCGGAAGCAGATATGAACGCCGCGTCCCGAAAAGGTAAGTATCGAGGTGTGAGCGCTTAATCGGTCCCGGTTCAAACACCTCATGAATCATGATGTTCCTTAATGATGACTACCATGGGCAATAGGACACTACAAACATTTCACGCTGAAGTCCTGCTTATAATAACCCATCATTGAACAAGCAGTATAAGACAATCCCACATCTCCTGCCACTAGTCTTTCCACCCATTATCACGCAATGCAACGTTCAACATGAGTAAAGCTATCCCGTACTAGATTTTATGCAAGAATTTGCATTTGGTGGAGCGGATTGTCAATCAGAATCCAATGAGAAGTATTGATTTGATCCCCGTCTTCTGGACTTGCCTGGCGGCGCAATCATTATTGTTGGTATCGGTAGCATAGAAGTTAGGCGAGGCCGCAGCAGTTTCGGGTTTTATCGTACTAGCCACATACGGGTATTCTGGCTTGCTACAAGGGCATCGATTGATGATGGCTCGAAGCGCCACCTGTTCCAGATATTGCCTACATAATCACCGAGGAATAACAAAAAGTCGGTTCTCAATCTCATTCCTCCATTTTGGTGGTATTCCCTAGTGGGGGATGAAGAGCCAGCGCTGAAGTGCGACGATTCACCTCTTGAAACCCAGAGATCCCACGCGAAACAGCCATGAAGGGTGAGGCAGCGATATGAAGCCACACCTCGCGGTCTTGGACAGTGGCAGCTCCTGACCCGCATGTCCAGAGGTGTGGGACCTTTACAGGGAATCCCCCTTCCCTGGTAGTGCCAAACGCTAAAGCAGAAAAGATGGGCCAGTTATGTATCAAATGAACTGCCGCATCTCCAGATTCTCCACAACACAAGGACCCAAACGGGGAGATCCGAATCGTTCTTCAAGATGAGCCGCATCGGTTGCCGTCACTTCACAATTGGGGCTCCACGTTCAATTTACCGAAAATGGGTACCAGGGCTCTGCAGCCCGAGCCCTATCGAGAGTACAACCGCCATATTCTTAGTCAAGAGGCATCAATATCCATGAGGGGAGTGGAGCCTACTCCTGGCGCTGACCGGTCAGACCAGCAGGCGTCACAACCGAAGGCACTTCTGCCAATCTAAAGTCATAGGAATTCCCAATGGTCCTCGCACTCCGAGGATTTGAATATTAGCGATAGGAACTTGCACGGCTGAGAACGGCCCGCGGGATCATCCTTTGTTCTAACATTTGATACGAGTTTGCCGAAACGGGTTGCAATCGATCCCTGAATAATCTAGCTACGAGTTCCCATGCACGGCCAATGGTCATTCACAAGACACATTGCATTGCCTTTAAAGGACAAGGCTGAAATCCACAATGGTCTACTACACGATGATTGAGAAAGGTATATTTCAAAGAACAAAAATGACTGCCAAGGTCCTGCGCGTCTTGAGCCAGTTCTGCAGGATAAAATCATTTACCGTTCCCTTCTTTCCTGATTGGCCAGATTCCCCTTAGATAATGTAGCGGAGTCCGGATGGATTCAGGATAATCTTCACGAAAATGAGAAACTGCAATGGAACGGGGTTAATCGCGATTCATGATCTAACAACACACCAAATTGCGGCGCAAGATTCAGATCCCCGGCCCCTGTTAGGCCAAGGATGACATTCGAAGCTGGGTTGGTTGGGGGTAGAATGAGTGAGTGTCGCCACTCCGCGGAGAAGCGCAACCACACCATTCTCGGTCAGCAATACGGCAGAGGTCAGGTACAGAGAGATCGAATCCACGAACCAGCGTCAAAAGAAGGGACACATGGATCAGGGTCACAAGTAGACTTGGTATTCCCAGGTCGCGTGTAAGATAGTCCAGCAGGGGTTGAGGCACTGGGGGCTGACCCAAGAAATGCTGATGTGTCTTCTACACGCTTTGGCGCTTCAGCCTTAGCGTACAGGCTGGTCACTGCGGCGGAAACAAGGAGCTCTGTATTGGAAAATCGAGTCAGACCAAGACATTGGCGAGAACCGCTAGACTCCGCGCTTAATTGATCTTTGGTATCAGTTCTGTGGATGAGGGCTGCGACCGCAGTGCGCTCCCGACATAACCAACGAAAGGGCCCAACTTGGCGCTACCAGGCTCTTGAACGACCAAGATAACATAAGCCACCCATAGCCACGCGTCCCAAAGAAGTGGCTTACAGGCCAATGGCCACCACGTCTGTCAGCTCGTCATGAATCTGAAACTCTTCGCCGTCAAGCTGAGTTCCGGCCCTATCAGGAGACCCTAATGAGCCCATTCGCCAAGCTGGCAGGTAGGCACGGTGGGGGTACACACTAGCCCAAGTCGGCCCACGCGCAAAGTGGTCTCGAGGTGAGCAGTGGTGAATCTGGCGAGCCATTAGGTAAGCTGGTGGCGACACAGATCGTGGCAGCTCCTTGAGCAGTAGGCCACTTGCCTAATGCCCCCCTAATGCTGCGAGCAGTGCATGTAGTCTCCGAATGCCCAAAGGGAGGACCGGTTGTCTCTAGGCAGGTGACCAGCCTCTAGGTTGTCTCAGGGGGGTCAGCTTTGACGTGGGAAATGATCTGCACAGCCACGGCCACGAGCTTCTGGACCCTTTTGGGGAAATCCCTTCAACGGCCTGTCTTACACAGCCAGGGGTGAGACTGGCTCTGACGTGAGCATGGCCGAATGGAAAGCTTTCGGCAGAGTTTCCTGTCTCATTCACGGATAATTTGTTCTGAACCGCATTTGATCAATCCAAAGGAAACATGTGTTGCCGTCCCTGAGGGCCAGCCTGAGCGCAGGTGTGGGACAGATTCACTTGTGTCGATTGGTTCTACATGTATTGACCGGGATGAGCAAGCACCAACGCCGTACTCTGTGTCCGAGAGCGAAATGATGGTCACACCAAGCATTGGCACCCGGAGGTGCGGCTGCAGTGCTGCACCGCGACAGCTACGACAAACCGCTTGATGCAATGCTTGGTCGGATCAATTCCGCTGTACTGGATTCTGAAAAATTGCGAACCTCATCAAACGCACCCTCTAATGCAAACAAGTGCATATGCATATGATACTACTTCCTATACAACACGGGCCCCTGTTACTGTACTCTGGTGTGCGTCGGTGCTCGGCTTCGTGATAGGGGGAATCACTATGAACCGTTTTTTGGGACTTGAACAATCCAAAGTGTTAGCCGAAGATCATCGCCTCAAAAGAAGTCAGTCAGTCAATAGGATTCAGGGGCCACTGCCAAGACACTAACTCGAAGCTTCGATAGCTCTGGCAACCAGAAGACCGACATGAATCTGGTGCGAAGCTGCAATCAGCAGCAACCCACGGAGGAGATGATCTCTGGAAGCCTCCACACGAAGCCTCACCTCCTCAGTCTTAGTGCAAGTACCAAAACTCTGGTGCACACTTTCCCGCAATCGCTCCACATGCCTTTATATCCCCTAATTGGAATTCGCAGATAAGAAAACGAGTTGCTCTTGGGAGCACTCCTTCCGGCGATAGCACCACACACTGGATAACTGGATACAGACCCCAAATAGCCGAGCCAGCCCCTAACAGTCCTGTCACATTTGTAAAAGCTGTGCCCAATAACGTTGCGCAAGCATGAGCCATACACATTACGCAACACCAGACCAAAGTGGCACAATTACAACTAAAACTAGCCAAGGTCCAAACGACAAAAAGAAAGGCAGCCATCTATCGAGCGCCATTCATTATGATGGCGAGAGAATCCCCCCGCACGATGCATGTGCAAAATGTCTACGGCATAAGCGATCCCATTTTCATTACACAGCCAGTGCCAGCGGGATCTGAAACACCTCGCGGGGCGCGTGCAGCTCAAGCTTCGGCTCTAAACATTCCCATGTGCACACACCCCACATGGCTCGCTTTGTGAGTATGGCCCTCCGCTACAACCACTAGTCCGTCGATATGGCGATTACCTATCGAAAAGAACGGCCAAGCAGGTGCGTTGACCTGAACAACAAAAATGCTATGCATTATCTGAGGCGGGAATCCACACACCTGACCGAACGGGGTATGGGATAATTCTAGAATGATAACAGGCACGGTAATACACAGGAAGCAGCAGCCGCATTATCACAAGGGCAACGATACGAGTAATGGATACGATAAAATACAATACGGCAAGTGTCCGCTGATACAGTACTCACAAAAAATAATCGAAGATGAATATCATTAAACCCGGAGTGCATCAAAGTATCCGAGAGCAAAGAAGACTAGACCAGACCGAACCAAAGAAAAGAATAATCGAAAAGAGAATAAACAGGATAAAGGAACCCAAATCACCTGGTTCCCTGTCGATCCCACCGTGCAAGAATCGGCCAAGATGTCATCGGAACATGACAGGAGGCCGAGACGAACTCTAGATCTATGACGAAGATCGACGCCTAGTGCAGCCGAGGACCCAGCAGTGAATGCGCAACCTTCAATCGGGCCGCGGGGAATTGAGGGCACCATCACACCACCTGGAGGATCAAGTGGTTGTGCGAAATCCGAAGTACAACCAAGAGGACAAGACAGGGACTTGGAAGGCGACAGTATCGGAAACACGAAGAATAAACAATGCGGACCACCACCCAGAGACGACAGATAGCTACCTCATCGTCGAGACGAGAACGAAGGATCAGAACGAGCAAACGAAAACTCGCGGTCGCAAACGGACGAATACGGAACAGAAATGGAAAACAAGCTTAAGAGTCAATTATCACGACTAGTCTCCAGCAACGAGATGGGCGGCAGTCTCACTCCCCCCTCTCCCCCCACCACCCCATTCCCTCCATTGCCAATTTGACCTTCACCAACAGACGACAAAAGCGAAATTGCGAGCGATTCCGACTTCTTCGCCATATCCTCCTCCATCGGTACTTTCAAGCCCACGCCAACACCAGGAATAGCCGACGCATTGGCAATAGCATCCTCAAAGGCCTTCGCAGCTTCTTGCTCAACGAGCGTCCCTCTCGGCGTCATTCCCTCGGCCCGTTTCGCAACTTTACTTGATCCACCTGACATCCCACCGGCACTACCCGAGCTCAGCACACTTGCAGCAGATCCCGAAGCGGCGCCAGTGATGACTTGTGAATTATTAGCAGGCCGTCTCCGGCTAGGAATGTATCCCTCTTCCTTTTGCTTTGTGCGAGCGTACCGCAAACCACACCTAAATGAAGGGGATGAGAACTAGAACCTTTACGGAAAACTTGGTGAAAGAAGAATCAAAAACTAATCAAGAAATGGCAAACCAAGCACAAAGAAACTAATAACAATCCAGATTCATTCGATTTACTCGGCGGGTCAATCGGAAGTTGAGAAGTCTCGACCTTAATGGAGACGAAAATGAAACGGCGGCGGGAGAAAGGGAAAAGTGATTTCACTCCGCCACTAGTGGGACATACGCACCCCTTCTCCCTCACTTCCACGGAACCGGAAAACAAAAGAAACAAACTCCAAGCGGGCGAAAGAAGGGAAGAAGAAGAATGCACACGCTACTCACGCATTACATAAATTCTTGATCCCCGTCGTCCCTTTCCTCCACTCAGGCGAACTGGTCGTCCCACAAAACGCACACCGCATAACCCCGTTCGGAGGATTCCCACCTCTACTCACACTCGCAGACGTAATCGTAGTCGTAGTCGTAGTAGTGCCAGTCATTGCTGTAGTTATTCCCGCACCCGCTCCTCCACCAGCAGAGTGACTTTGTCCATATGCAGTAGCGCCTCCGCCAATGCCCGTACTACTATTCCTCCTCGTATTGTGAGAATGAGCATGACCATTCCCGACAATACCACCTGTCCCCGAAAAACAAAAAACAAAAAATGGAAATGGATCAGAAGAGAAAGAATTTTTCCGATCCAAGAAACACACAACTCGCACCTTTGGTCGCCCCATCGACGCTCCAAGAATATCTCAAAGAGGGTAATCCCATCTTTCTCCTCCCACCCCCAGGAGACGCACTTCCCCTCCCTTCCTTCGACGAACTCGAAGTCGAACTCGATCCGCCAGGAGATGAGGGTCCTCTCCCTCCCCCACTCAACGTAGTGGAAGGGCTAAATCCTGTCCCCCGCGGTGGATAGGGATGAATATCGTACTCAGCCCTAGCGATCCTCCCTTGAGCCTTACTCGTCCAATCGACCGTCCCTCCTCCATTGTTGTTCCGATGATGCTGTCTTCCTGTCCTCGTCACGGAACCCGCACCAGCAGTCGAATTCGAGAAAGATATAGACGGTGACGTAGATAAAGGATACTGATCCTGAACGGGAGACAAAAGCGTAGAAGCAGGCGCAACGCTCGTATACGGATACGGGGGTTGTTCTTCCATAACTAACGACGAATGATGTCGATGAGAGTTCTGATACGAGTGGGGATTTAAGTGTTGCGAAGGATACGATGAACCTTGATGGTGATGATGTTGTTGGTTCCTATACCCCACCGCCACATCATCTGACCCAGCTCCATGATAAACCCCTGTCCCTACCCCCGTCCCCATCGGTGACAGAGCCATATGATTATGATGATTCTGAGCTGTGGTAATCGTCGTCGTGATGGAAGGATGGTGAGGAACAATAGGAGGGTTATGAATGGGAGGTGGTTGAACCGTAATGTTGGCAGGGGGCAAATAAACTCCCATCCCCATCCCAAACCGACTTGGCACCACAATCGGTTTCTCCTCCACAACTACATGACACGTAAATATCACCCCCCCATGGGGTATGAATATACTTTCGACCGTCTTGTTCATCCCTCCCGTTTGAATCGTCTGCAAAGAAGCGTATCGACGCGTGCACGACGTCCGAGCCTGTTGTTGAGGGACATGATCACTGGACGAATCACGGTTCCCCAAAGTATAACTCCCGTTACTGCTCACTCCATCATCGTAATCCCCTCCGCCTCTTGAAGACTCGTTCTTCTGAGGGGTCAACTCCACATCTTGCGCCAACTTGCCGAAATCACTAGGCTGATAGCCCTCATCGGGCCAGCCAAATAACAGCTTCCTCCCACCGCTAGGTTGAGACGTATTTTGTAATACTTGAAATATCCTCTTTGGCGATGTGTATCCGTACGCTGATGAAGATGAAGACGATGAAGAATGGGGATTTGGATTGGGTGACAAATTGGGTGATGACGCAAGGTGAGGTGGGTAAGGGAACTGAGGGTGTGGCGGGCAATAGTGATCGGCCTTGAAGAGACGCTCATGCAGCAGGGATACATGCTGTGTTTTTTTTTTTGTACCGCGCGTGAAATCAGTTAGTTTGTTTTTGAAAAGAAAATCCCACATCGTTGAATCCCATCCCAAAAGTTTGGTTTGAAAAGAAGTCCGTTGGCATCGGGGGAAAGGGAGGGGGGGGGGGGAATTCGTTGATTCGTTGCGCCATTCAAAAAGTTCAAAAAGAAGGAAGGAGGATCAGCAATTTGCTCACAAAGAAGACAAATAAACTAAAAAAAATAAAGGAGACACACACCTCCTTATCGAGCGGAACGGACCCACACCAATTCGTCCAGTGGCTCTTGTGCCTCTCATCATTATCCCTTGCAGGGGAGACGTCTTATTAAGAGTCCAAATAACCAAGGTCCAAAGAGAAGAGAGAGAGAAAGAGGAACGATCCAATGTCGCACAACAGCAGAAAACAAAAAAAAAAGTGAAATCCCCAAAAAATCAAGTTTCACATATATAATATGCCCATGACAAAAAAAAAAAAAACCTCAAAACGTCAGAAAGAGAGGAAAGAATGGCCATTTTTTTTACGCCAAAAAAAAAAAAAAACTCACCAATAACAGCATGCATAAAACAAAGAACCAAATTCTCCCCAACCCAATTTACCGCCACATCACACGGTATGTACAGATCATCGTATCCAACCTGCCGGGCATGTGGGAACGTATCTTTGATGGGGGAGCCTAATTCCACACGGATCTGCGACGCTCGGACGAGTTTTATTCTATTTTTGTTTTGTTTGTTTTGTTGTTTTTGGGCGGTGTGTGTGTATATGTATGTGTGTGTTCATGTGCGAGGGAAGAACAGCAGAGCAGAAAGGATTGAGCAAGGAAGCGAGGATAGGCGAGAATATGATAGACGACAGGAGAAGAGTCCACCGGCAAATCAAGGGGGGAGGATTCCAAAATCCCAATTGCGGCAGTATGTGTGGCATAAAGGTATACGAGTTTGTTTGAGTTCGAGATTATTTGCCCAGTAAGTTGAAACGAGCATCACAAGCGCCAATCAAACACACATAAGAGGTAGCCGACAGAAGCGGAGCGGTCCGCCGTGCCCGTGGGTTTCCAAAAATCACAACCACGAAACGACACGACACGAAGTCCCGAGAGCCCAATAGATCCGGAGGAGGGCCGGTCACGGCGCCGGCACCAGGGGGGGGGGGAGCGGAGGATTCAAAAGAGGTCCACAAATATCCAGCCCAAGACCCAAGAGAAACAGAATTTTCCAAAGTTTGTTGGAAAGCCATCATCAGACCGGAGGGGGGGGAAGCAAAGAAAAAGAAAAAGTAACATTATCAATCAGTTCATCCAGCCACCCCACACACACACACGAAAATAAAAATAATTAAAAATTTGGGCTTCCAGACAAACTTACCGCGTAACGGTCCCATGAACGGCCTGCTTCTCCACTACATCGAACAGATCCACAGATGCATTTTGCCTCTCGTCTGGATGAACCCAGTCGAGAAGCGAAGATCCGATGAAATCTTTAGCTTGATCTTTTAGGTGGGATTCCAGGACGGGATCTATGAAGAGCATTTGGAGGTTTGCGTTCAGGAGAGCCCAGTCTATATATGTATAGATCGGTGAAAAGGAAAGAAAAAAAAAAGAAAAAAAGAATTTGGGCGGTTGAACATTGTTAGTTTTGGTTTTGGGTGGTCAGTTCGATATTAGACATTAGTAAGGTTTTATACGATGGTTACATGTATAAAGTGTTTGGTTTTAGGTTGGCCGTTTTTTGTGGTGTATGTGTGTGTGTGTGTGTGTTGACGGTGACCGTTTTTGGGAGAATTCCGAGGAAGGACGGGGGAGGAACCCGGATGACAGGTTTCAACGGATCGGGCATTCCGCATCACCCACCCATACATACCATAACATTCAACAGTTTTGCGTGTGGGGGGGGGTTCAACGTAGAAGTGCAACCACGTATGAGACCGGGTTGTAATTTGTCCCCACCCCACCCCAAGGACAACAATGACCACATTACCACATTATACAGACGCACAGCGCACAGATGCAACCACACACACAGACAACCAAAGTTTTGGAGCGAATGGTCGATTTCATGTCAATTGGCAAGTCCGATCCCAGATTTTCGTCGAGGGCGACAGACGAACAAGTAAACAAAACAACCCCCAGTATCATTTTTTCATCGCGCATATTTTGTTTTTTGTTTTTATTGGCAGCCGGGAATAGTGCAAGTCGTTGAGACGAAGGGAAGCGCGTGTATAATTTTGCCAGGCGGGCGGGAGGAGGGGGTTTGCAATGGTGTTGTTGATGTTATTTTGAACAAGAGCAAGAGAATGGAATCGTATAATGAAATGAAATGGTGGTGAGTATCATGTACTGTGTAAGCGCTCGATGGAGGTAGAGGTACGGGTGGTAGTGGAAGAAGGGAGGAGAACGTACAGCATCGAGTCTGACCGAGAGGCGGGATGGTACAAGTCATCCTTTTTTTCGAGGAAAAAGAGGGGGGGGAGGTTGAGCAACCCCTCTGGTATACTTTGGGTAAAAAGGTAGAACGTGAAGATAGAACGGTTGTGTTAGATCACTACTGGCGAAGATCTTTGGGTGTAGATAGATAGAGGGATAGATAGAGAGAAAAGAGAGGATAGACAGAGAGAGACGATGATTGGGTGGGTGGTTGGTGGGTGGTGGTGGTGGTAGTTGAAAAGCGAAAGGACGGAAAAGGTGCAAGGTTTGGCACAAGTAAAATAGGCCAAGGGTTGAATTGAATATGAATATTGAAATTGAGATAGGTGTCCCATAAACGGGACTTGGGAAAGAAATGCCAAAATAACAGTCAACAAATGAAAAAATAGAAAAGGTATTTTTTTAAAATTGGGTGATCGAGTTGAATCGTTCATTAGTTGTGATCGGACGATCGGGATCTGCTGGCTCTGCTTCGCTTGCTCTTGGTCGCATGTTTCCGGCGTATATATATATATATATATATGGTACTGGACCTTGTGACTTTTCTCTCCAACTAGTGGGAATATATGTGGGTCTTTTTAATCTCATATGTAAGTAAACACGCACGAGCAGATATCCCCCTTATCCCGCCATGGAGCCATTTGTGGGGGGGACTGTTGGTTGTTCTAAATTAACCCCCCCCTTTTGATAGCGTAACGAAGTCCCTTGATCTAGAGGAAGAGTTGCGAACGAAACAGGAAATGTTGAGAAGAAGAATTTTAAAAAAAGCAAGTCATCCCACATCCACAGCCTCAGCTGATCGGCGGTTCCCTCCTTCTCTTTCCAAATTCGTTCAGCTCTGTTATCACCAGTAACCAGTACTGCCAGACGAACCCGGTCACACTGCCATATATATATACGATAAACCACTTGACAATCCAACCAAGGGACCCAACAAATCCACCTTTCATTCTCCCACCCAACCCCTTCACACATGCACACACACATGCACACACACACACACACTTGTCCCTCATTTTTTGTTTTCCCTGACCCAATTACTTGTCTTCCCCGTAAGCTGTGCTTCCCTTCCGATCATCCAACTCCGACGCCGCTACCATATTTCCCTTCCCTCCCTTCTTCGGCGCTTTCCACTCAATACAAAACCTGACCCCTCCATCAATAGTAATATGCAATTCATCCCAACCACCCCTAGGTCCATTCCCAGTAACGATCACGGAAAGCTGCACTGTCCGATCTACCCTCTCTTAATATCTTTCCTCGGTACCTAACGACTATCATGATCAACCTTTCCGTTCACAGCTCCTTGTATTTTCATCTCTCAACAGAGCCTTCCCCCTTCCACCCTCCACCCCAAAGGCTATGTCCTCAACGACGAACAAACAAACAAACAAACACAAGAATAGCTGCCAAGAAAGAAAAAAAAAAAACGGAAAGGAAAGTCCAGCAACCCAGCAACACACTGACTATGGACATACATAACCGCGCCTTGCACGCCGAATCTGTTCGTTTTCCCGATTGCCAACCGGATCAGATGACAGATCAATTCAATCGACCCTAATACCAATGGAACACCCATTAGACTCTTTTCAGGGCCACCACAAAAAAAAAAACGCCAGGCCTTTTGAGTTGGGGGGAACGATCGCGTGGTCCGGGGCTATGCTCGTTGCTTTGCCGTCACCCCTTGCCGCAAGCGAACAATCTCCCCCTACTGAGTGATCATCGCGCATGGGTACATAGTATTGTTCCTTCGTGAGTGTATTGCATAGCAAGTTGTCCTTACCCTTGAAACCAACATGATGAACAGAACAAGAACAGACACACGAATACGATACGATACGATTATGATACATGTGTGTTATCCATAAAAATCCAATTCGCTAAGCTAACTACTTAACTCAAATGTTACTAGTAGTAGTATCAAACTCGCTAACATTTACTTGTAACGCCCAACTACATAACGCTTAGACCGTGTTGATCAAATCAACAAAAAAAAAAAAAGATCGCAAACGACCAACACGCCAAAAAAAAAAAACAAAAACAAAAACAAAACAAAAGAGGCCGCCACTCTCCGAGCACTTTTGCGCGCACGCGAACTTGTTGTACCGATAAACCATAAACCCTCCTAACTTACGCGATTGACTCAGTTGAACCGAACGATATAATACGACAAGAAGGGCCCGCGCCGGCGGGCGCGAGGAGGGGGCCCATGCGCTTAAACAACAACACACGTGGAACTTATGCAGCAAAACATCCCACTCTAACCTCCTCCCGATTCTTTTCCGGGTGGCTAAACGGTTCTGCCCTCCCTCCCCCAACAGCTGTGCGTAGGGAAAAACCCATATGGGAACATCCATTTAACGCGCCTATCACTGCGCCAAGAAAAAAAAAATAACGAAAACTTCTACGTATAACCGTTCCATCACCCATTACACATGGAAGTCAATCCAGCAAGTTGACTCTCCCCCCTCACAGCGATGACTCAAATTTCAAAAAACTCATATGCGAAAATTCCAGCCAGAAACCTTTGACCCTGTTTGCGCAGCCTTGCAATCACACACCGTACAACCACATGGAAACATCTATCTGCAAATTTCACATCCACAACAAACGTGAACACAAAGTCGGCTGTTGCGCTTTCATATGTAATTAGCCTAGCTCTTAGCCTTGGGGCCTCATGTAGCATGTGGAAGGGGGAGAAGGGGGGGTATAACGGCATGGCCACTAAGATAACAACTCCGCCATACCATAACCCAAAACCTTGGATTCAAGTTGAATCAAAAAAGGTAGTAAACCCGGCACCCCAACACCAAATGCCCTCAACAAACAAACATTGCAACCAGCACTTGCAGTGTCATGAATATTTATATATATAACTCCCCCGGTCACACACACATCGGTACCGCACACGCCGTAAATCACTGTAACACCCCCTTTTTACCTCAATTAGGCGTTCTTGTGCAACCAAAGTCCACATTTTTTTGAAGCTCGGCGTTACAGTAAACAACTTTCTTGGGTGGCGGAATTTACCACAGCAAACCGTTCAATAACCGCCCCAACCCAACCCCCCGCCCTTCAATGTGGGCGGGGTTGTTTATGTTGTTTATCTCCAGCCCCCCTTTTCTCTCGTACTAGTTATGTACTCATCTGCTATGTGTAAAGTATTGCACCAACGTTGATATTCTCGCCCGCCGCTTACGTACTCAAGCTTGCGTAAAACGATTGCGACAAGATTTTCAATCCTACTACAGTAATGACTAGTCAGTTCGGCTAATCTATTTTACTTACTCAAGTACATAGCCATCTCAAATGCAGTTCTAGCCCTTACTTGTCGATTTGGAAAGAAGCCCCCTCCCCCCATCGCGGTTGCCTTTCGCAGATCTTACCCCCCCCTCTCTCTCTCTCTCTCTCTCTCTCTCGGCCCACGTAGAACATTCCGTCACACAATATGATAACTTGTACTATTATGGACAACCAATTGCGCTCACTCACACTCAGCTTCAACTCGCGTGCAAGGACAGGAAGAACGTAATGTAAAGTGCTATAGGCTCATCCGAAAGGCTCGGCAGAGGGGGCCTTGCTGGCCGGCCGGCCGGCAGTACCTGAACATGGATTATCATTTTTGTTCTTTTTTTGCTTGTCAAAGCACACAAATGTAGATAAAGTACTTCGGATCCGTGCAAGGGGGGGGGGGGATCCTATATGTGGATATATTACATTGTTAAGTCTAGCAATACATATAAAAACAAAAGGAAATACACCGCAAAGAACCGCCCTACTACTAGTCCTGGTTACGCCGCCGCCACCCCCTGTATATATTTCTTAACTTCCCCCCCCCCCCCTTTTACTTAAGAATGGAAACCGAAACCCTCTCGATCGATCGATACATGTATAATGTGGCTATTATACAGAACCCCCAACCCCCCCAACCCACAGGTTCGTTTTCGATCCTGCAAAGCTTCCATTCTTCTTTTCGCTTCCTCAACTGATCAACGCCCCCACACATCATATGTTTGTATATATTTATATATATTTATATATATAGTATATGCATTGACCCCATACATGGATAACAACTTGAACTAGTACGTACACATTGCGTAGACAGAACACCGTTCGATCGGGGGGTCTTTCGATCATCGGGTCCGAGATTTGGTATTAGTTGTTGTAGCTATGACATGACCGCTCGTTGTCTCATTCTCGCGCGCTCTCGTTACATACACGTAAACATACCTACATACGTACTTACAAACGTGTCAGCTAACGCACGATATATCGATCCGTTGTAATATTGATTCACGTGCATGCAGTTCTCCACAAAACCCGTCTGAGTTTGACGTGAAATTATTATTGATCTTTGTTCTATCTTACATACACCACTGTTGGCGCGGGCTCACACCGTCTCCCACGTCGTCCCCCCAAAAAAACTTTCAAAGCCCTGAACATCTTTATTACGAATGAATCCCCCCGCCCGCAACGATTCAATTACCTACTACAACGCGATCAAAATCCCCATTCAACTCGATATGCAACAAGACAACTTGACAGAGGCCTGAACCTGACCCTCCGATCGAGATCATATATTAATCACTGATCGAAGCGAGACGTGACTACTAACCATCCATGACTGACTGGCTGATGTTATCTCGCCAGTCGGGGGGGAGGGGAAGATATTATGCATATGCATCGTACATATATATTGTATATTGATTATATGGATACGCAGTAAAAAGCGCAGCCGTACTTACCGGAAGAACTATGTCAATATATGTACGTGAAGTGGGTAACCATTCATCTTTCGATTACTTATTTACAGGTACAACATTACATTACCACTTATACGTGCCCTTCACGAGCACCAGGACGATCCGAAGAAGGATATATATGTATGTATTGTTTTTCTTTTACATATCATCGATCGATCGGTCGAACGTTCAGGAATGCAAGTGAGACCAGCTGATATATATCAATTAATGGTCTAGTCCTTCCACCCCCGGCCCCATTGCCGCGCGCCGATAAATCGCGATACATGTCTGCTTACTAACTACATACTCGGGATTCAAGGGGGGGAAACGTGTGTGTGTGCGTGTGCGTGTGTGGATATAAAATTATATTGTAGTAGTGTGGCGGGCAAAGTGGAAAGGCGATTAAATACAACAAATATCAATATTAGAGCGAGCGGGGGGCGTTCCGTGCATGGCCGTTGCGCTACCGTACTTTGCCGGATGCCAGAGTACCACGTACGGGAACGTCCAGAGGCAAGCGCCCCTCCCCGGCTCTACTGTTCCGGTTCATTATCAAGTTCGTTTTTGAAAAAATAAAATCATTGGTAATCGCTTTGAATATAAACAAGCGCTCACTGGCCAGAGAGCGCTTATATGGCTTTAGGGGCTGTCTATAGCGAACGTGACAACGTATATAGAGTCCATTAATTCCTTCCTTCTTATTGACGACCTTGTGAAAAAATACTACTAGTAGAACTGACATCATTGCATCATCGACTTACCGCGTGAACCTCGGCGTACAACAAAGTCCGACTAGTTACAAGGGGGGTTGGGATTAAGATTAACAGGGTTGTATTTGTCGAGTGAGCGTTTATTTCAAGTAAGCACGTACAGTAATGGCACATATGTAGTTACAACGGAGGTCGATCCCGTATATATACGGAGCGGGGGTTCGATTCCGGTCGGACATAAGTCACATATGGCATGAGCAGTCTAAATCGTGTGATCGGTACTATACTAGTTCAACCACTTACAGTAGTAGCGCCAGTGGTTTCCCCGCGGTATTTCCCGATTCACGGTTCTACATAAGCACATGGCAAAAAAAACAAAAACAAAAACAAAAAACAAAAAAAACTCGTTTGTGGGGAATCTAGTTCTTTTAGATCCACGTTAAATGCCCAAACTAGCTGTTCATGGTGGCCGCGCGCGCGAGTGCACTTATATATCGTACTTTTTTCTTTCTTTTTTTCCCTTCACAGTACACACGAAACTATAAAACTTCTTTCCTTCTTTTCATCATTGGACACATTATATAATATAAAGGCAGCGAAGGCAGGCCTAGCTATTGTGCCACAAGCGCTTGCCAGCTTTAATTACATAATTCGTTGCTGGGTTGCTGACTTGAAGTCACGTACGTCAGTGCCGACAACTAATACGGGGGTTGGGGGGATGATCAATCCATAACCGGACCTGAGCGTTCAATGCAGCCGGTGCATTGTTCGAT